TATGTATGCGATGCTATCAACTATGGATGTCTTGGCATTCTTTTTAGGTTGGGCATTTTGTCTGATAATGGCACACTCTCTGACTGATTCCCCTGTTAATTGGGACGGGGTTGGTGCCTTCAATTGTGTATATGATATTCTTTGTATTCTCGTATAGGTCTTGGATTAAGCGGACATATGTATGGTCGGCTCGACATCTCTTGATCGTATCTATTGCCCAGCTTTCGACTGTGTCAAAAGCATTCTCAAAATCTTTGAATAGTGTTCCGTGGATGGCCGGGTATCAAACTCTCTCTTCAGCTTCCAACTTTTATTCACCTCGGTATAACTTTAAATATGGAACAGGAACAAACTAACTTTAAAATAACCGTCAACTTCACAAACAATAACAATAACCGACGGAAAACTTGCTCTTCCGCCTCACGGGGTTCCACCTCTTCTGCACCCGGTCGCTCATGTCACTTCACTTCCTCTGTCTCGTTCTCCTCGCTGCTTATATAAATTCCTTCAGGTAACCCAGATGGTTCTCGAAATCTCCAGAACAGGTGCGAAACTTCCCGCTTGTCAGTGTCATATTTGACAGTAAATGGGGCGCAAATGGGGCTCCCATTTACTGAAATACTATGAATTTTGATCACTCCATTTCAAACGTGAGTACCCAGGCCATTTCCGTTACAATAGCATGTATAGCGGTTGATTATGCTCATATTAATTTTTATACTAATTGCCGTTTTTGCATCAAAATATTCACAGAGACCAAATCCGACCCCGAGTCGTCGCTTCCGATTTGTTTCTTGAGTTCGTTGATCCATGAGTCGATGTCGTCGCAGGTCTGGTGAATCAGTACTTCGCGATTATCGTCAAACAGTCGTTCCCCATTCTCCTTGGTGGTTTGTTCCAAAACATCGAACTGATCGGCCAGTTTATCAATCTTGGGCGAGATTGCGGTTGCAAATTCCGGCTTCTCCTTGGCGAGTTCCCAGTTGGGATGCTCGACGTGCAGCAATTGTTTGGCGAGTTAATTAACTACAGCCACTCTAGGCGCGTTCGAGTTCATCTCTTTCAACGCCATCGTAGCGATGTTTCATGATTTCCTTGTCCTCAAGGTTCTTTAGTTTACCTTCAACGGTTGCTTTCAGATCTTCAAATTTCTTAGCGTTATCGTCCATTTTATTCAGCATCTCTTTGTATTTGTCATTCATTTTGTCCATTTTCCTACTGTTGTCTTCCATTTTGTAGCTCATCTGCATGAGCACTGCAATCAAACTGGGGTTCTCCATTGCAGGGTCTTCCTTCTTTGATTTGCTTCTTGTTTCCATAAAAATTTAACTTGGATTCTGGTAAATCCCACTTCTGACACCAAATGTACCGTGGATGGCCGGGTATCAAAGTCTTTCTTCAGCTTCCAACTTTTATTCACCTCGGTATAACTTTAAATATGGAACAGGAACAAACTAACTTCAAAATTACCGTCAAATTCAAAAACAATAACAATAATCGACGGAAAACTCGCTCTTCCGCCTCACGGGGTTCAACCTCTTCTGCACCCGGTCGCTCATGTCACTTCACTTCCTCTGTCTCGTTCTCCTCGCCGCTTATATAAATTCCTTCAGGTAACCCAGATGGTTCTCGAAATCTCCAGAACAGGTGCGAAACTTCCCGCTTGTCAGTGTAATATTTGACAGTAAATGGGGCGCAAATGGGGCTCCCATTTACTGAAATACCATGAATTTTGATGACTCCATTTCAAACGTGAGTACCCAGGCCATTTCCGTTACAATAGCATGTATAGCGGTTGATTATGCTCATATGAGTTTTCTACTAATTGTCGTATTGTGTGTATATGGTCCATTGTGCTGGATTCCTGCCTGCACCCAGCCTGTTCGGGTGTTTGGTATGTTTCTAATTTATCAGAGACTCGATTACTTAGTATTTTTGTTAGCAGTTTATTTAGGTGCGATATTAGTGTTATAGGTCTATAGTTCTTCAGGTTTCTGTGGTAATATTTCTTAGATATTAGTCTTACTTTGGAAGTTTTCTATTTTTTAGATATTTTCTCAAGTTCCAAGCAATGAGCTCGCTTAATAAGCAAATTAATTTAAATATTTTAATATTTTGAAATCTCAAAAAATAGGCAAAGGAATAACGTTGTGGTACACATAATTTTAATTCCTAGATGGATATATTAATTATGTAAGGAAACTTATTTGTCCCTATAGCAATATCTCAGCCACTTCTTGCAAGAAAAAATTGTGTAATCGGAGCAACAAAATATTTCATTATTAGCTTGGCTGTCAAATTCTCAGAACTAAAAAATCTTACCGAAAGATACCGTCGATTTAACAAAAATAAAAATAAACTTTAATTACATTAATCACAAAGGCAGACAAATAAAGTAGATATAGATTTATTAAGTATCCAACTTCAAGTCTTCAAATGATTATTATTATTTTAGCAGTTCTTCTTCATTGTTATTTTCATTTCGGCCTTTTGGTATATTTTCCATATCATATGCGTCATTTTCAACAATTCTTTGCTGGAAATATGGATGTCTCGATTTGGCCAACCATAGTTCCAGACGGAGACTTGGATCTAGGGAAGCTGACAATGGTTCCGGACTGCTTCGTTTCTTCAGATAGTTAAAGCAACATGTTCGGAAGTGTCTGGTTCCACAAGCTGACTGGCATTCGGATCCACAAGAAAAACAGGTTTCTGCTTCACCCCATACCACACCTAGTAAATTTTCCAGTTTGGATTTTACCACTATTTACCTTTACGGAATTTATTAATGTTTAGCTCGTTTGTACAAAAATGTTAAAAGCTTTGTTTTACAATAAATTTACAGCTTTCTAAAGAAGTAAAAACTTACCTAGTATAATGACGGTTACCAACAACTCTTTGTTCATGGTGACCATCTATTTGCTGTCGGTAATAAGGTCGATGCTAAAATAATGTCAGTGGTTGATTTAACTGCATCTTATATGAAGGGTTAGTCCTTTAATATTAATTTTAGGGCGGAGTGATTAATCCATAGCTTGTTCCAGCTGAAATGTTACCGGTCATCGAATAAAAATTATATTTTTTATTTGCTTCTAGAGGAGCCCATAAATATTAATTTTACTTGCTRTAAYAGTTACRTCGGTTTCATATTCTAATCCGGGATTGYTTGACTGAATTGTGTACAATAATTGTACCTACATATTTTAAGAAATTTAAAAATGTGGCTTTTCATTTAAAGTGTTGTTTCTGATTTTATTAACTCATTACGTTTTATTTAAAAAGCATTTTAGTTAAAAAAATTAGTCCTTTTCCATTCTATCCTATTTTAAAATTTGAGAATGTATGGGGACTCATACAATCTCTKCAAACTTACGTAATTTCGTTTAAGGACTTGTTGGGGCTCACATAGTGATATTTTGTTATTTTAGAAAAAAACGGTTGAAAGGGACATTTTACTTTAGTAATCATTAAGCCGTATTTGAA